AATTCCCGAAAGAAGCTTATTTCACACAATCAACTACGGTTTATTGCTCCCTCTTTATACAACCAGTTGTTTTCATACACTATTATGTGCAATTGCTGAAGCAATCCAACATGATAAAAGAAAAACAAAAACTTGGTAAATGACTTGTAGAATCCCTCCAACGCGTACAAATCTTTTTTATACAAGACATATACGAAAAAGAAGAAGAGAAGGAAGTGTCAAACTTCCGTAGAGGTCTCTTACACACTAACAATGTATATACATCCTTATAAACTGGAAAAAAAATATAATTATATACAAATATACACAATTATACAATACTGGTACTAGACAGGGACCTCAGGGAGCTCGTGGTTGAGGTTAGGAGGGTAAATGATAGGTTGATGAGTATTAAGCTGGTAGTTGGTGGGTTTACTGTAAATGTGATTAGTGCTTACGCTCCTCAGGTAGGTTTGGACCAGGAGGTCAAGAAGCAATTCTGGGAGGATTTGGACGAGATGGTGCGTAGTATCCCGCACAGAGAGAAGTTGTTCATTGGCGGAGATTTCAATGGTCATATTGGGGATAGCGCTAGGGGTTATGATGATGTGCATGGCGGCTACGGTTTTGGGGTTAGGAATGAGGGAGGTAATTCACTATTGGATTTTGCTAGAGCTTTTGATTTGGTTATAGCTGACTCGAGTTTTCCGAAGAGGGAAGAGCAACTGGTCACTTTCCGGAATTCAATGGGCAAGACTCAAATTGATTATCTTCTTTGCAGGAAGTGTCATAAAGGTCTGTGCATTGACTGCAAGGTCATCCCGAGTGAGCACCTCACGACTCTACATAGGCTCCTAGTTATGGACCTGGAGATCAAGAGGAGTAGGAGGAAGAGGGCGGGTTGCAGGCAACCTAAGATCAAGTGGGGTAACCTGACCAAGGACAAAGCTCAGGAGTTAGGGGAGAAGTTGTTGGCTATGAGGGCCTGGATGAGTAGGGGGGACGCGTCTAGTATGTGGGGCACTACTGCTGATTGCATTAGGGTAGCTGCTAGAGAGGTCTTAGGGGTCACGACGGGCTCTCCTGGGTGTCATAAAGGGGACTGGTGGTGGAGTGGAGAGGTTCAAGGTAAAGTGGAAGGTAAGAAAGCTGCTTATTTGAAGCTAGTGGAGAGTACAAACGAGGAGGAAAAAAGGACTTATCGGGAGTGTTACAGAAAGGCAAAGAAAGAGGCGAAGTTAGCAGTTACGACGGCTAACAATGCGGCGTTTGCTCGTTTGTACGAGGAACTCGAGGGAAAAGGCGGGGACAAGAGGTTGTACCGGTTGGCCAAGGCGAGGGAGAGGAAAGCCCGCGACTTAGACCAAGTTAAGTGCATCAAGGACGAGGATGGAAAAGTGTTGTTGGACGAGGCACTTATTAGGAGAAGATGGCAGACATACTTTCATAAACTGGTGAATGAGGAGGGGGATAGACGCATTGTGCTAGGTGAGTTGGAGCACTCCGAGAGTCGGCGGGATTTTGGGTACTGTAGGCGGATTACGGTAGAGGAGGTGGAAGGGGCGATGTGTAAGATATGCAGGGGCAGAGCGTCGGGGCCAGACGAAATCCCGGTGGAATTATGGAAGAGCGCGGGGCGGGCAGGTTTGGAGTGGCTCACTGGGCTGCTTAATGTTATTTTTAATACAAAGAAGATGCCCGAAGAATGGAGGTGGAGTACGATGGTTCCGCTTTACAAGAACAAGGGTGATATCTAAAATTGCAATAATTATAGGGGTATCAAGCTGTTGAGTCACACTATAAAGGTATGGGAGAGGGTGGTGGAGGCTAGGGTGAGGAGGTGCGTGTCTATTTCCGAGAATTAGTTTGGATTCATGCCGGGGCGCTCGACTACGGAAGCGATTCATCTGGTAAGGAGACTAGTGGAGCAGTACAGGGAGAGGAAGAAGGATTTGCATATGGTGTTTATTGACCTTGAGAAAGCATACGATAAAGTTCCAAGGGAGGTACTGTGGAGGTGTTTGGAGGTTAGCGGTGTTCCTGTAGCGTACATTAGTGTGATTAAGGATATGTATGATAATGCTAAGACACGGGCGAGGACTGGGGGTGGTGACTCGGAGCATTTCCCTGTGGTGATGGGGTTGCACCAGGGATCGGCTCTTAGCCCATTTTTATTTGCCTTGGCGATGGATGTATTGTCGCGTCACATCCAAGGGGAGGTGCCTTGGTGCATGCTATTTGCCGATGATATAGTGTTGATTGAAGAGACGCGCAGCGGAGTTAACGCGAGGTTGGAGGTTTGGAGACAGACCTTGGAGTCTAAAGGTTTCAAACTGAGTAGAACCAAGATAGAATACTTGGAGTGCAAGTTCTGTGACGGGACCCACGAAGCAGACGTAGAGGTTAAGCTTGATGCTCAAGTTATCCCCAAGAGAGCGAGTTTTAAGTATCTCGGGTCTATTATCCAGGGAAACGGGGAGATTGATAAAGTGTCGCGCATCGTATTGGAGCGGGATGGATGAAGTGGAGGCTCGCTTCCGGTGTTTTGTGTGATAGGAATGTGCCGCTAAGACTTAAGGGTAAGTTTTATAGAGTGGTGGTTCGACCGGCTATGATGTATGGGGCTGAGTGTTGGCCAGTCAAGAACTCCCACGTGCAGAAGATGAGAGTAGCAGAGATGAGGATGTTGAGATGGATGTGTGGGTGTACCAGGAGAGATAGGATTAAGAATGAAGATATCCGGGACAGAGTGGGAGTAGCCTCCGTGGAGGACAAGATGCGGGAGTTGAGGCTGAGATGGTTTGGACATGTTAAGAGAAGAAGCATTGATGCTCCAGCTAGGAGGTGTGGGAGGTTGGCCATGGAGAGTTTGAGAAGAGATCGAGGTAGACCTAAGAAGTATTNTTATCCCTTATTAATAAAAGAAATGAAAAAACAAACGTGATAAAAGTAAGTCCTATAAATTAGGATTCATACCTAGTTTAAACAAGGAAGTATTTACTATACCAAAAATAGTTAATTTTGAAGCCCTAAATTTTAGGCAAATAATTTAAGTTACTATTTTATCCAATATATAATATATTTTTAAAGGGCCTTCGTGCTTTTAATATAGTATAGATTTTATTTTATTTTTTATTTTTTTATTTTTTTTTTTTTTATCTTCCATCTTTCTTCCTCCCTTGCTTTCCTCTTCTTCTTCTTGCCCTTCCTGAGCCGAGAGTCTATTGGAAACAACCTCTCTACCTGAATTAGGTGGGGGTAAGGTCTGCATACAGACTACCCTCCCCAGACCCCACTTGTTGGGATCAAACTGGGCTTGTTGTTGTTGTTGTATACAATATTGTCTAACTTGTATAAACATGTATAATAGTGTATAAGAGGTGTTTGTATATTCATATATACAATTATACACTATTATACAGTGTTTATACAAACTGCTACATAGTTATGATTTTTATCCAAGCCTCGAGTTGTAGTAGAAGGTATTGGATGATTCAACTCGTCTATAGGTTAGCAATTTTCCGCTAACGATTCGGAATTCAACGCACAGATACGATACACCCAATTTCAGATTCGAGACTTCAAGGAGGACAACACACATATTACGGGAATCAATAACTTGCTATGAGCCAAGAAGGTCAACAAGCTTAAGAACAAGCAAGTCTGAAGCTTTCTACTTCATCGTGTTGAAGATTGATTTAACTTCCGATCTTTTCTCCTCGGAGCTCGACCAGACATTGAAAATTAAGGTTTCAAACTGCAAAGAATCAGACCCAATTTCAAAAATCTTCAATATTCTTCTGCTTGCCACCATGGACGACGGAGTAGGAGCCCGAGCCTTCTTCGAGCCATTGATGACAGAACTGCGTAGGGGGTAGGAGAGGTGGAATAGCGGGGGCTAGGTTAAGAGAGGATGAGGGATCTATGTGGGTTGGAAAGAAAGAAGCGAGAGGCGGTGAGAGAGAATTTGGTGTGCTGGGAATGAAGAAAGAAGAAAATAATAAAAAGCCTAAAAGTGTGTCTTTAATAATGGGCTAAAGGCTGAAAAGTTTCTTTCAAGTTATGTACAACATGGGAATAGGGTGAGAGCTTCAAATCTGGGCCATTTTTCGGTTGGGCTGTTAGGCCAAATGACAAGGGCCGTAATTCTTTCTACTCTTTTTCATGTTAAAAGTTTCACAAATTATGATAAGGAGTATTTTCCAGTTTAAAGACAACTGCTATGGGCATATATAGCCAAGAAAGTGCATTAAATTAATAGGATGTATATAATGTATCTGTCATGTGTAGGTTAACCGTTGTGGCCCTAAATTAAAACTTCTACAGGTTCATGATCAGTTACATTGCAAAATAAAGACTTTAAAGGGTGTATAAATAGGAGAAGAGGAAAATACTTGAATAATTAGAGTTCTAATAGAAAGGAACGGTTAGTGTCTGTAATTGTGTCTTTTAGAAACGGCTGTAAAAATAAATGTCACTCTTCGCATATCTTTTTTTTTTTTTAAAGACTGTTGGATTTTTTTAATAAGAAAACATAAGAAAAAAGCAACAAAGAAAAAAGATATAAAAGATAAATAGCATTGCTAGTTGATGAGAGATGCCTCTCTTTTATATACTCCCATCGCTTGTATTAGATGAGCTACTTTCATTTTTAGTCTGTTCCAAAACAAATGACAATTTCTAAATATTGAAAATAATTCAAACTTTAAACTCCTCATTTTACCCATTTACCTTTAATGAGAAGCTTTTATAGCAACACAAATGGCATGACCCCACAAACCTTTTACCCCTTAAGCTTTTAAAACCATAAGTTTCAAAGGTCTTCTTCTTTCTTCTTAAACTCCGTGCCGAGTCAAACTACCTCATCTAATATGAAACGGAGGGATCATATAAGAATAAGAATAAGAATAAGAATATATATAGATTAATATAATTTAATGCCTATTTAATAGATGAATGAATACAGAGGGAAAAGAGGTGGTAGACGTTACCAAAGCATTTTTTTCCACTAATTTGCCGTATCTAACGTCTCTCAATCCTAATACTCATTCAAGGAAAAACACAAATCAAAAAAAGAAGAAAGAAGTCTTTGGAAAAGCAAAAAAATCAGATTAAAACTTGTATCTTTGATCTCCATTTTGTTTGCTTTTCCCTTGTGCATGGCTGAAATGCATTAAAGGTGAAATTTAATGGCTCATATATCCTTCATTTTCCGTGAAATCTATTGCCAATGGTTAACGCAGCAATGAATTTTGTAAAATTTCTGGTTATCATAACCACATTTTGTTCCGGCCTAAGCAAGGTGAATTCATCTAAAAATGGCTCAAATTCTTATTCCTTTGTTTTGGCTTGTGGGGCTACAAGTAATGCCACAGATGCAGATGGCAGGATTTGGAGTCCAGATTCCACACATCTCCCCTCTTCTTCTTCTTCTGGTAATTCAATCACATCTAAAGCTAAATACCAAGATCCTTCATTGGTTTCTGATATCCCTTACATGACTGCTAGGATTTTCAAGACTCAAACCACGTATTCTTTTCCTGTTTCTCCAATATCTCGCCATTGGATCAGACTTCACTTTTACCCTTCTTCTTATGACAATTTCAACTGCTCCAATTCATTCTTTTCTGTAACTGTTGGAGGGTTTACTCTTCTCAATAATTTCAGTGCCTCAATCACAGCACAAGCACTAACGCAGGCTTATATCATAAGGGAATTCACTCTTGTCCCTCTCCAAACTAACACCCTTAACATCACCTTTAACCCTTCATCAGTATACAAGGACTCTTTTGCCTTTATCAATGGAATTGAGATTATTTCAATGCCAGAAATCTTTCAAGCCGCGCCTATGGTGGGGTTCTCCGATCAGACAATGGAAACAGAAGCTTCTTCTATGCAAACCATGTTCAGGTTAAATGTTGGTGGACAGTATATTCCAGCAAATAATGACTCAGGCTTGGGAAGAATATGGTATGATGACGCGCCATATTTGTTTGGTGCATCATTTGGTGTGACATCTGCAGCTAATAACAGTGTCAAAATTTCATATCCTCCTAATCTACCTAATTACATTGCTCCGGTGGATGTTTATAGGACAGCACGATCCATGGGGCCAAATCCAGATGTTAATAGGAACTATAATCTCACTTGGATTTTCCAAATTGATGGAAATTTCACTTATCTCGTGAGGTTACATTTCTGTGAGTTTCAGTTGACACGAATGAATCAGAGGGTATTCAATATATACATTAACAATCAGACTGCTTTGGAAGAGGCTGATGTTATTTCGTGGACGAGTGCCCAAGGTGTGCCAGCATACAAGGACTTTGTAATATATGCCACAGATCAACCTGGTGGTGATGAAATGTGGGTGGCTTTACATCCTAATGATAAGACGAAGGCCGAGTTTTATGATTCAATCCTCAATGGACTAGAGATTTTTAAGATCAATGACACAACAGGGAATTTGGCAGGGCCGAATCCTGTTCCATCATCAACCCCACCTCCGGAAACTGATTCTCAGCCAAAACCGTCATTTGCATCAAATAAATCTAGTAAAAGTGGCATAATAGCTGGTTCAGTTGTAGGATTGGCGGCTGGCTTTGGTATTGTTTTTGGTGTAGTTGCTTTTATCAAACGCAAGAAGAATATGAACAGCGGAGGGAAGTCTAGTAGAGGTGGTTGGTTACCAATTTATAGTAGTTCTAGGACTACAGAAACTAGAACAACTATCTCAGGCAAGAGCAGTGGCAGTAGTCACATTTCCAACATTGGTGGAGGTCTTTGTAGGCACTTCACCTTAGCTGAGATAAAACATGGTACGAAGAATTTTGACGAGTCGTTAGTAATTGGAGTTGGAGGATTTGGTAAAGTGTATAAAGGAGAGATTGATGGAGGGACTAGTGTTGCTATTAAGAGAGCAAACCCTTCTTCTGAACAAGGTCTTCATGAGTTCCAAACTGAGATTGAATTGCTGTCGAAACTTAGACATAGGCACTTAGTCTCATTGATTGGGGCTTGTGAAGAGAATGAAGAGATGATATTAGTGTATGATTATATGGCTAATGGGACATTGAGAGAGCACCTTTATAAGCACAATAAGCCACCTTTATCATGGAAACAAAGACTGGATATTTGTATTGGTGCCGCTAGAGGTCTTCACTATCTTCACACTGGTGCAAGATACACTATCATCCATAGGGATGTGAAAACTACAAACATTTTGTTGGATGATAAGTGGGTAGCAAAGGTTTCTGATTTCGGATTATCGAAAACGGGACCTAATCTCCATCAAACTCATGTCAGTACAATGGTAAAAGGAAGTTTTGGATACTTGGATCCAGAATATTTCAGAAGACAGCAGCTGACAGAAAAGTCTGATGTGTACTCTTTTGGGGTTGTCCTATATGAAGTACTGTGTGGAAGACCAGCTCTAAATCCTAGTCTTCCAAAGGAACAAGTTAGTCTAGCAGATTGGGCATTACACTGCCATAGGAGACATACTACTAAAGAAATTGTGGATCCACATATTAAGGGGGAGATCACACAAGAATGTTTGAAGCAATTTGTTGATACAGCAGTGAGTTGCTTGTCTGATCATGGAACTGATCGCCCTTCAATGGGGTCAGTGTTATGGAATCTTGAGTATTGCCTTCAGATGCAAAATAATCCTGATGGACCAAAAATGGTGGCAGAACAGAAAGCAAACGATGCTTATGCGATGCATACAGAATTGTTAAGTATTACAGAGGAAGGCGGAGAAGGTGAGGAGTCAGAGGAGCACAGCACGGAGGCTGTCTTCTCCCAAATTGTGAATCCACAAGGTAGATAGTTGCTTAGTTCTGCTATTGTACTTTTGTTTTTCTTCTACAAGTTTATAGTTGACGAGCGAGGAGGCTCGCTTAGTTGGTAGAGCACCTCCATCTCCAACCAGTAGGTAGTTGGTAAGTGGAAGCACTATTAATCAGACTTGTAGCCTGTATTTCTGTCTTCCTTATTGGTGCCTTCATTTTTGCTTCTCCATGATGTCTCACGATTTGAGTGAAGCAGCTTTAATGTTATAGCAGTGTTATTTATGGTTAGCACAACGCTATCTTCTGAAATTGTATCCCAAGGGTCTGCGCTATAATTATTCAAGAAAACGAAAATGGATCAACTATTATAACGTAAGGGCTATATGTAAAATGCATGTTTTGATATGCATCTTAGTTAACTAGTGAGCTTAAAGAGAAAATAATTTATCCTTCTAAGGAAACCTATATGATCTTTAAGCATAGTTTTTTTTTCGCAAGAAAGCAACTTGCTTGCTGCTTTTATCACTTAAATGAAGAACTGTTTTATTCATTTGTAAATCTCAAGTGAACAATTCTGCAAGACAAAAGGACACACAAAATGTAAACCAAAAGAGCTGAAGACAAAAAGAAGTGCTCACATTAGAGGTCGGTCAAATTCAGTGTTGCTAAAAGTCATCGCTTTGGTGCTTAAAGCAATGAAGTGGTGCGAAGCGAGGATTATATCTTCTCGAGTGAAGTCGTGCACTTCATTATTCAACATATTTTTTAACGTATAATGCGGATGGATAACTATTTTCTTTTAAACATTTTGTCACCACTAGTAGCAAGAATTGTTATAGATTCATGGGTGAAGCCATGTGTTTCAGAGAAATGTACACTTCAAACAATGAACACCTTAAGTGAGACAAACCAAAAAATGTCTATCGATTCTTTTTTCTTTTAGGCTGGCTTCCTGTCCATATATATCACAAAAATGAGTACATGGAAGAGGACATAAAACTTAGCTTCCATTGTTAGACGATGAAGTTTAGTACCTACATATACCAAAGTGGAGAATGCTAAGGAGGTTGTACTCTAATATTCTTTACCAAAAAAGGTAATAGCTTACTGTTACAATCCAAAATCACGTGACTGATACTCAGCGTATTATCTCATCTGAGTGAACCTACTCGTACAGGAATACCCATCTATATGCCTAGTAGAAGTATGCGAAAGCTTTTTCAAAACAGGATCATTTCAAATGATTGAAATTGTACATCGAACAAAATCATTAAATTGTCCATTTTCAATAAACGGAAATACAAAAAATAACAATATTCTTTCATGCATTCGATTACAACCTCAAAAGAAAATAACAGTCTATGGAATCTCTAAGATATGAGAATAACATAAACGCTTGGGATAATACCGCACTAATAGAAAATGAGGACAACATGACAACTACCATGAAATATAATTGGTACCTCACTATATACCTCAGAAAGAGAGTCATTATGGTCATGTCCGATCATCATGTACCATACTTTCATGGACTCAACAAGTGTCATGGACTCTCTCTAACTCAAGTTCCTGAGACAAGACTTTACAAAAATAATGCAATCAATATTTGATATAAAACAATAAATAATTTAAAATAATTCATGCTCTTTGTCATTTTAAATGAAAAGACTAGTGAAATCTTGTCACGACCCAAAATCCCTCCGAAGGAGTCGTGATAGCACCTAGTCTCTAAAACTAGGTAAGCCTAACACATACCGAAATGATAACAGGTTCTACTAAACAGCTATGAAACATGAACCGGAAATTTCTAAATAAGCCAATAGTCACAACATGATACAATATCCCAAAACTAGTGGTACAAGTCATAAGCCTTTCTAAGAGTAACTACACATAATGAATACATCATTGTTCCGGAATAATAGAAAACGATGGAAACAAATATAATAGAAGGTAACTTCGGAGTCTACGAACGTCCAGCAGGGATACCTTGAAGTCTCCAGCCGCACAAGCATAAGTCTCAAAACCAACTCGATCTGGAAGTACCTGGTTCTGCACAAAAATGTGCAGAAGCATAGCATGAGTACACCATAGTGGTACCCAGTAAGTATCAAGCCTAACCTCGATAGAGTAGGGACGAGGCCAGGTCAAGACACCTACTAGACATGTAAACTTGTGCAGGGTATAACATAAAGCTAATAAGGAAAGAACTTCAATTTAAGGACAATAGTAGAAGGATTCCAAATTACATTCGACTGTGAAAATAATGGGAGCACGAATAGCAATGAGAAACAACCAAATAATTAAGTAACAACACAGTCAGGGTACAAGTGAGATATGAATGTGTCCAAGCAAGGGAAATCAATGACAACTCAATCAATCAAATTATTTCTAATGTACGAATTTCAACAAAAATTATTCCAAATACCATTTCTCGTAATCCCAAATCATAAATCCCAATTTTCCAAACTTTACACATAAGGCACCTTGTGCGCACACTTTTCCAAATCACTTCGCACGGCAAAATACGCATGCTACTCGGTACATAGTATCCGTGTCAAATACTAATTAAGATGTTCAAGAGATTTATTTATGTACCGTTAAGTAAAATTACAGTTTCTGAACCAAGTAGGAAATCAATGAGAAAAAAGGTTTATTTTAAAAATTATTTGGGTAAAGAAAATAACATTTTCAAATAAAATAAAGCATCGAATAAGCTACTGAATTTAATATAGAATTTATTAAATTAAAATATAATAACAATTCTTTTTAAGTAAAGTAAAAACACCAGACTAGGTAAGGAGATTAGGTTGAGAAATCAATTAAATTAAAATATGACAACTATTAGAAATAGTAAAGTACCAAATAAAACGACGAGTTTTAACTTAAAAGTCACATAAGGTAAGCATGTTGATAATTCTTTTATTTAAAACCTTTATGTTACCACAACTCAACATGGTATGAGATAACCACTCAGCGTAGTAAATTCATCTTGAAAATCAATTCACCAAAATAATAGTAACAGAAAAGGAAAACAAGGAATGACCGCAAAGTAGTAAACTAATGGAAACAACTCAATCCTTGAACACCAGGAAAAAAAATAAGAAAGACCAATCCTCAGAGTCTCGTACAAAAGAACCAAAGAAAACACAATACAACAACGAATACAAAACACATAAACTATTGCGTCCCACCGTATAACACGATCCTCCCTTATTCCATCGTGTAAATATCAATAATAATAAGTAGCTATATATATATATATATATATATATATATATATATATATATATATATATATATTGCAGCACGCAACCCGATCCCACCATATAATCATAATCAATATCATAATTCTCTCTTATTTCACCATATCTGTCCACCCTTATTTCACATGTTGTGGCGCGCAACCTGATCCCACCGTATCAATATAAATTCACTCTTATTTCACCATATCAATCCACTCTTATTTTACCTGTTGCGGCACGCAACTCGATCCTGCCATATCAATATAAATCCAACCTTATTCCACATGTTGCGGCGTGCAACCCGATCCATAGATAAATCAATAACATCAACAATCAAATACTCAATTTACAAGAATTACTACAATCATAGGGTGTGAGTACACAGCAATAAAGGAACCACGTAATAATCAAAGGAATGCCACAATATTACGAAAATGATAAGACAAGTAAAGCACATGACAACTAAGGTGTGCAATTACGACAATTAAGGCAACTAGCAGATAAGCACGGAGTCATGGAAGGAACTCAACAATTGAAAAGGTAACAAGATAATAAGAAAAGCGTTAACTGCAAATAAAGCATGTAAGGGCAAAATAACAAGTACGGGGGTACAATAAGTGCTAACAACGTCAAAAAAAGCATGCAAGGGTAGATTAACAATGAGAGACATAACACATTATAACAATTCAATTAAAGGCATGGAAAGAATCTAGATAACCTAAAACGGACAAATAAAATATATAGCCCGTGTAACCACTTGTCACCTTGCGTACACGACTTTCACATAACACAAATAACACAATCAACTTGAATCCTAAGGGGTAGTTTCCCTCACAAAAAGTTAGACAAGATACTTACCTCAAAGAAGTTAAACCGATACTCTAAAATGACCCTCTCATGTGAAACAACCTCTGAACGGCCCAAGTCTAGCCGAAATAACGTAATATCATAAATAAAAGCCATAGAAAATAATTTCAGATGATAAAGCTTCGATCTTTAATTAAAACTAAAAATTCAACTCAAAAGTCAACCCCGGGCCCGCACCTTGGAACCTGATAAAATTCACAAAACTCCAACACCCATTCCGATACGAGTCCAACCATACAAAAATTATCAAATTCCGAGATCGAATCGCCCTTCAAATCCTCATTTTTTATTTTGAAAGATTTTTACAAAAATTCCCATTTTCTCTCATTCAAATCACTAATATAATGTTAAAACAAAGAGTGAATTACGGAATACAATTATAACCAGATGAAGAACACTTACCCCAAGCCAACACGTGAAAGTCCCCTCCCAAATTCGAGCTCTCTAACTCAAAAAGTACTAAAATATCAAAAGCCCTCGAAATAGAGTACTTATACACTGCCCAGTGATTCCTCTTATGTGATCGCCGAACAATCCTCGCGATCGCGAAGAACCAATTGTTGCCCAGTGGAAATAAAGCTTCGCGTTCGCAGCACAAACCTCGCGAACACGATGAACAATGACCAGAGGCTTCGTGAACGCGTGCAGACAATCGCAAACGCGGTGAGTAAAAGTCCACTGATCACGTCCAATGCACGCCTCTTACGAGGTATGATACGGTCGTTTGCAATAATAAAATCCAACAAGGAGCCGGGATCGAATTCACAGGGAGCGAAGATGGGAATTAGTAGTATATATTTGGAGTGAGTATGTGAAGTATCTAGATTGCACTTCCACAAATAGGGTTTTGTTTTTAATTCTAAAATTGTGCTAAGGATTGCAATTATAAAGATATCAAACTAGAGAAGATTGTTTTTGAATGTTTTTTCGTAGATATAAAAAGGCGGTTGTGACCATAAACTAGGTGTTTGCCTAATAGGATGAATACTTTTATGTTGTTTTATTGACTAGGGTGTATTATAGCTCACAACACTATATTGCCCAATCAATACCTCTCAGTCAGAGAGTGATTTTGCCGAATTTGGCTTTCTCAAGACCAAATGGGTATCTACCAAAACGGTTGATAAGAGATCAAGTCGGGTTGTTACTATCTCTAGGGTGAACCCTTTAATTGGGTTAATCAATCTCTCAATTGACTCA